AGACTCCTTTTCTTACCTTTGGCACCTCATCACAAAGTACTTCACTGTCAAACAAGTAACGAACCGAATAGCCTTTTAAAAAGCCACTTGAATCTATGAATTTAAAACAAAGTATTAGAGAGAATATTGTTTTAAGCACGAGCAGGACAATTATTCCGACCACCAGAATGTTCAGCAAGTTTACAGCGTAATTGTGAGAAACATCATTTACAGAACAAAGTTGCTTCCAGTTGAGAAGTCTTAGTGGCTGGGCACAGGTGTAATTTCAAACAAACCATTAATTTTTGCCTTTTAATAAATTGCAGACGTGCTACTATCGATTTTCTGCGCTGAAGTACATCATATTCGTAGTTTTCAAATCATTATTAACCGGTCCTCGAATACCACTAACCCCAGCGCTTTTGCACGTTATCATACATTTCACTCCAAGAAATTGAGATTGCTTTGAAAAACGCCTTACACTTATACCCGAGATCAAAACACCACGTAGCCATTGCCAATCAAAACGGGTTCTAAACTATCTTCAATTTAGCCCAGTTTTAATAAAACGCTTATTTTTTTTTTCAACAGTGTCATACATGAGATCGTAGAGCCAACTTGGTGTAAATATTTATCCACTGGCAAACACCCCATTTTTTGAGCAATTTTCTGGTGCACTGATTAGATTAATAAAAACCGCGTACAAAGTTAAGCGGTCTTGCTTTAATAAATGGATTCTCGCGTTCAGGGGCTACCGTGACTCATAATTGAGTTTTGCTTTTTTGTTTATTTGCTTCTGTTAGTTTTTTCTGTTTGTTTTTCGCTATATGTGTTGTTTGGTATAATAAAGGACAGACAACAACCTAGTTACACACCATCAATTGGACTCCAAGATACGTCCGCATACCAGTTCTCTGTGTTATCATACTGTCCAAATTTTACGGCCACATTGGATGCAAGTTGTTTTACAGGTGTCGGTGAACTCTCATCCGCCCTGCTAAGACACCCTAAAATAAAAGGTAACCTTAAGTACAAAAAACAACCACCTCAATGGTCTACTGAGAAAGAGCGATCCGAGAAATATCCTTAACATATTCTACTCATAGTTTGTATCGTGTTAATATAGTAAGAAATGGCTCCATTCAACTAAAAAAAAAAAGGAGAAGTACTAAAATGGGGACGGCATCCCCTTCTACTTCTCGCTTTGAATTGTTAGGAGGTTGAAACCTACCGTTAACTGCTGACTCAAACTGAATGTCTGAAGTCCTCTTGGAGAACTGATTTTTTTTTTGTTTTGTCCCACGCTCGATGGAAAAGGTTGTGAGGGAGCTTAATAATTACCATTATGATATTTTTTTATACTTTATTTAGGGGATCTCAGTGGGGTAATCATTATCCATTAGGCGTAAAAATGTCCAGATTTTAAAAAAGTAGTCGTATAATAAAACAATTAATCGTGAAAATGTTTCCTTGTACAGACTATCATTTTGTTTTATTTTTGGTTTGCCGTAAGCTGTAGAATGGCCAAAATTTTAATCATCAGCCGTTACAAATAAGTCCATCACCTCACTGAGATCATCTATTAACTCATCCTTCTTCATTATTTCACCGTCATAGAACCTACTTTTATCGTTCCAGAATGGTATCAACCCGATACTGGTCTTATTAGTTGGGAAGCTTTGAACCTTCAAAAAAAAAAAAAAGGGAGAGAGAATTTGAATGAATGAGTGAATGAACGAATGAATGAATGAATAACGAATGGAGGAGTCAACGAACGAAGGGACCCACGGACGAATGAAAAGATAAACAAATAAATCGATAAACGAAAAATTAAATGGAATAATAAGTGAATGCATGCAGGCATGTATGCATGCACGTATAAGCACATCGGCAAGCAGGCAAGAAGAGATAGATGGATCCGAATATTAAGTCAGTGAAGTGACATAGCAGTGCGTTTAGAAACGTAAGAACAAAAAACCACACTGAAACAAAAAGATATTAAAACAACAGGAGATCTGCATTTCGCCTCTAGAACTCACCAGTAAGTGAATAGGCTCCTCCTGATTATAGCCATAACGAGACAAATTTATTCTGAGAGACGTTTGGCTCTAAAAACACGATAAAAGGAGAAAGGTACGACAAAAGTCAATGAATTTGCTTCACAGCAGAAAAGGAGAATTACGAATCAGACCGAGGGAGTTGATAGGAGAAGTATATATGTCACAGAAACCACAAAATTTTCATCACCGCAGGTACCAAGAACATATGATATCAGGGAGGTCATTGTATCGTAAAATTTAACGAGGCTGGACATAGTTTCTTGGCGCGCGCAGACTGGGTTCTAATTTCCCGGGACTTTTAAAAGTTGCAAAAAAAAAAAAAA